AAAAAAAAAAAAAAAGTCATAGCAATTATTAATTTTAACAGGCAACAAAATTTACCCCACAAAAGTAGAAATAACTGATGTGATCCATTTCATTGTTTACATTCCAAAGAGCAGTGTTTCCCCACAAGGATCATGATAAATGAAGATAACAATAATATGGGTGGAACTATAGTGTATTATGCTAAGGGAAATAAGCCAGTCAGAGAAACAAATACCCTATGATTTCACTCACATGTGGAAACGTAAAAATGTAAAACATGTAAACATGTCAGAATTATACCTAAAGAAATATTTTAAGCACTCTTTTTATTCAATAGTACATAGTATTTAAAACTATAGCAAAAGAGGTAAATATGAACAGAATAGTATTTCTTTTTTTCTTTTTTTGAAGATATTTATTTGAGAGAAAGAGCGAGAGGGAGAGAAAGCAAACACAAGCAGGGAGGAAGGGCAGAGGGAGAGGGAGAAGCAGGTTCCCTGCTGAGCAAGGAGCCTGACGCTGGGCTCGATCCCAGGACCCCGGGATCATGACCTGAGCCAAAGGCAGCCACTTAACCAACTGAGCCACCCAGGCGCCCCAAAACAATATTTCTTTCTTTAAAAACTGCTCTTTTAAAAAAGGCAATTACTTTTTAAAAATTAATTTACAAAATAAGAATAAAAACGTAATACTTTGCTTTTTTCATAATATCTCCCTTACAATACGCTAAGGCTTGAAAAATAATGTACAAAAATATTTGTTGTATATAAACAAACGAAGAAACCAGTAAGACAGTAGAATATTAATTTTAAGGTTTCTTTAAACTTAGATCCAACCAGATTTGAAAAATTACTTGTTTGCTATTGACACTGCCCAACATTATCTGTACTATCCAGACAGAACGCATGGGCATCATCACCTCTTTCCAACATCCAATCAGAAATTACTGTTCCTTCTTCCTTGACAATATCTATTCTACATGGTCTTTCTTTTCCACTGCTACTACTTGGATTAAATTCTGATTACCCCATACCTAACACCTCCTACAACCTTCTGAGCTCCCTGACTCCTCATTCCATTTCTCTAATGATGTACATTCACACATTGCTAGAGCGATTTCCCTAAAGTCAAATTTTATGTCACACTTCCTACCCTCTCCAAGACCTCTACCATATTCCGAGGGAAATATTCATTTTCTATCAATTGGCTTTTCTAGAAATACCTTTTAATTCTTTCTTTACCTATCCAAATTCTACTCATCTTTCAAAACCTCAAATAATCCCTCCTATGTTCTGTCTGTATTTCTCAGTGCTACAGAACCCTGATTAAGAAGTAATGATTTACTCTCCTGGCATTTATCACTTTTACCTGGCAGTGCTGGTTATCATTACTCATATTACTTATATACATACCTTATAGATACGACTATAAACAGAGGATGGGGACCATGTTCTTTGTTTTCTGATTCCTCCTTTGTGACTTGCTGTTACATAGTTTAACAAGGACCAAAATAAGTAATATCCTGTAGAACAAAAATAAGTGCTCTGGGGCCTTAAACTAGGAAGGAACATATTCTTAGAGTCAAAGAAATATAGATCGGGGCACCTGGATGGCTCAGTTAAGCGCCTGACTCTTGATTTTGGCTCAGGTCATGATCTCAGGGTCATGAGACTAAGCCCTACATCAGGTTCCACATTGGGCATGGAGACTGCCTAAGATTCTCTCTCTCCCTCTCCCTTTGCTCCTACCCACTCCCCTCACCCCCAGCACTCGTGCACCCGCACTCGCTCTTAAAAATATATATGTATTTTTAATATATCTATATATACTATTAAATATTAAACTATTTCATTTTAAAATATTTTTATTTAATTTTTAAAAATAT